ACCATAATCGCCCACCTGGCCACTAAATTTGGAGTATGAGCAAAATCACGTAGTCCCCTAACTGGGTTTATACGGCAAACATGCTTGTGGTAGTCACCGTGTATCCCAGCTATGGTAAGAACGATGTCGTGTTTCCACGTGGGAAGGCCTAATTGTTTGTCCTGACCAGGAAGAAACTGGATACTCGGTCACGAATGTCGTTATGTCTGACTAATTTATTTATTTTTCATCTTTGTTATAGCTCAATTGATCGTACTTATTTGTTTCCGTGGTTCTTAACTTCTTTATATTTTTGTTTATCAGTTTTGTGGATATCTCGTTTTTCATGTGTATTTCACTTTTCTTTAATATATTTAAATGTTTTATCATGTTGTATCACCTGCAATGTTTTTTATTTATTTATTTATTTATTTATTTATTTATTTATTTATTTAAAAAAAAAGCGCAATGTTTCAACAATACTCTCATCATTTATTTCTAAACTTTATTCATCCAACATCAAAGGTGTATTCGATCACTTTATAAATTGATCAACCAAGTGCTAAATTAATTCAGCGAACACAAAATCACGACCCACGCTTTTTGTGCCTTCAGGCGGGAGGCATATTTAATAAGCGGTCGTCTTGTATGGAGTTACGGTAGAAGGACCGACGCTTATTTCTCAGGTAGCCGACTAAGAGTCAGGCGATACACCCAAATTGGTAGTCGTCTCTCGGTGGTACTAAGCCTCTTGTGACGAGTGCGCTAACTTAAAGTGCCACCTAAATACAAGAACCATCAAAAGAGAGCGAAGTTAATACGCTCCAGTTCAAACAACGCGTTCCCTTTCACTGCACCGCCAAGTAGCAGCTTAATGAAAAGTGTCAACAATTAGCACCGATTATGCGAGGAAAGTCAACATCATCAAGAGGCGGTGGATCAAAGACGGGCAGGTGATTTCGTTTTTGTTGAAGCGACACTTGGGGATGGATTTGACATGGAGAACAGTTCAGGCTGACAGTTACAAAACAGACGAGAGGAGCTGTGCTTTTAACTCTGCTTTAATATTCATGTTTGTGAGGCATGGAAGCGTTCAGAACGCCGCTGATGACACTGAAGATTGGCGGGTGAAGGGAGAAAGGACATGAATAAACACTCCTGCATGACAACGGTGGGATAGAGACGGAACGCAGGCGGCCGACTAAGCCCAATCAAAATTCAGCTCGATTTCTTTTGTTTTCGTGTAGCCTTTTGTAGTTTCTTTGATATGACTCACGTGTTGGCGGTCCTCAGATTTTTCAAGGAATTAATTCTGTAATAATTACAGCCTTTTTTCTTCACATTTCATTTTGAGTAGAGCGTCTATTGTGATTCCCTGCATTTAATCTCATGCATTCATTTGAATACACTCTACATCACAATTACGAGTATTAGTTTTAGAATACACACATGCTCATGCTCGCATCTTTGTTCATTTAATTATCATCTACGTATTGTTTTATTTAATTCATTTATCTTTCGAACTTGAGCACAGATTCGTGTTATATATATATATATAAAATCTCCACGTATCTTATTTGATCTCTCTATCAGGCTCGAATTGTCAAATATATATTGTTCTAATATCGAATATATTACATCCGATTTATTTGCATTAATTTTCGATTTTCGATGTTTAAGAAAAAATAAAATTATTTTAAAAAAGTTTAGTTTCATTATATATCACTTTCTGCTGCAAAACGTGGCTAATTCATCTTTTAAGATGTTAAAACATCTTCAACGTTGTCTTAATACATTAAACAAAAATAAACACATAGATCCATTCGTTTATATTCAAATAATTTATTTTAATAACACAATCATGAGTATTCACAATGTAATTATATATAAAAAGAAAAGTGTTCAACACGCAAAAGCCTATATGCTCAAATCTTTTATACAGAAACCATTTACAATGTCATTTAAGGTGATCCCTACCAAGGTCAACGCCCCTTTGGTCATTAACCTCCTCAAACTCAAAACACTGCAGATCCTTGTTTCATAAAAGGCCTACAAACCGAAAATTGGCCTGAATTCTACAGCCGAAAATTTAAGACTATTTTTAACTAGATAATTGAATAAGTTGTTGTTCAACTATTGATAAATTGGCTTGATTCACTACATGAGTGAAATGTATTAGAGCATCATTTGCTCGTATCACTGCGAACAACAGCACATTGATTCTGGTTTTGGAATTGACCACCTATTTGGTCTAAAAGTTAAGCCAACGTTTCTTTCGTGAAACCAAACACTAATTAAAGCCGACTATGCTTTTGCTAAAAATCCACTGGAACTTTGATATCAGTAGAAACAGTATATACATAGTATCACTTCTGCAATACATTTTATACACGCGTTTTGAAAGCTATACCAATACATCAACTGAATTGATAAAATTAAATATAATATGGCACGATTTATTCACTCATTTCAAATTGCTAGCTGTGACCTATAGCGATAAATTGTCAAAATTGATCACCTATAACTCTTCAGTATCCACGTTATAATAGTAAAGTAACGCATAGCGCTTCTCAACTAATAAAATCATTAAATACTAATTACCATGCTTGATAATATATTTTAAAAAATGTTGTTTACTGACAATAATAATAATAATAATAATAATAATAATAATAATAATAATAATAATAATTAATCCATATCAATCTGATATGCTGAAACAGTTGAGCCAGGCGTGTAAATACTCTGTACAAATAAACCTGGCCAAATACACGTATTACTATATAACTTAACTAATAAAGGCCGACGGGTGCAGTGGGAAGTCAACAGACAAAGAGACAAATAGACAGATAAACAGACAAGTGGACAAACAGACAGACAAGCACATGGCATATTGCGAAAAAAAAGACAGACAGTCAGACAGACAGACAAAGAGACAAAGACATATGGCCTACATGAAACTACGACACATTGCGGCAAACATACATACAGAAAAACAGACATTCAGACAAACAGACAGACAGACAGACAGACATAAAGGCAGATACATGTAAGCACATGACATATTGCAACAAACATATAGACAGACATTCATCAAATCACTATAAACAAATTAGTACATTGAAATTTATGGCACCAATCAGCAAAGAGCATTAAAGCTTCAAGTTAAAACAAAATATTAAATTTAAAATTAATTTCCATTATCATAATTACTTAAAGCACCATTCAATCATCAAGTAATCATTGGTATAATTGTCGCTAGCCCTGAGAATTTCGGTTTCTTCTTTTCTAATTGGCATGTAGCAAAATGATTAACAAATTAATATTGACATTTTCTAAAATATCAGCAAAAACTTAAAAATAAAGTAGTCTATGTACAGCTAATATATCTATATGGTTTGCAAATTCAGATCATTTTCCATGCTGTTTTCTTGCCGAATTGCTCGGCAAAGGTGACGTATATACAAGAAAATAAATATCCATATATATATTTACAAATCGATAGTGATAATAATAAAATCATAGTTTGGTCACCACGAGACCCTGAAAAATATTTTTTTCGAGTTTTGTTTTAGTGATCTTCTTTTCAATCAAATGGTGAATGGAATTATATATGTATTTTCACTGTGTAAGTCAGTAGATTTTGCTAACGAAGTTCCATAAATGAACAAAAAATGTCAATTCACTCAAACAACTATTATTTAAACTTCGACATAACTTTGATCCGGAAGTTCACTATCACTGGTTGCCATGGAGACGTCGGCCAGCGCGCCGTCGGGATTCAGGAGCGGCGAGTGCGTCAGCGTGTGTCGTCTGAGATCGCAATTTCTGCGGAACACCTTCCCACAATCTCCGCAGTTGTAGGGTTTGAAGTCGGTGTGAGTGAGGAGGTGTGTCTTCAGATTAGAACGCTGGTTGAACGTCTTGCCACAGGTGGCGCACTTGTGTGGAGATTCCTTTAAAAATCAGGAAAAAACAATTTAATAATTGTAAATTTATATAAAATATGTTATATAAATATATAATATGAATTATAATACTTTAACACATATAAACATATATAAAACAATTCACTTTAGCATTAATATACCAATGTTTTGACAGTTTATGCAACTAGGTAACAATATTTGTTGATATTTTAGTGATTGGAATTTGGTGATTCAACAATATTTTTCAGCAGAAGTGAGAATGTTAAGACAGATGCAAATGCTTAAATAATCCCTTTGAATACAGGTACAACGGTGACGATATCACAGAAACTAATGATACAAGTTTCATCGTTCCAAATGAAAATTCTTTAAAAATCACTAAATTTTTAATAAGAAAATGTGACATTAAAATAGTAAAAATAAAAAACAACCAAATATCTAACAAAAACGATAAACATAATAAGCAAAAAAAAAAAAGACTGGATCTCTATACTATGAACGTTAATTATCTTATCAGTCTAAAACTAATGCACGTTGGCATTCTAAACCCTTACCTTACCTGCATGTGAAGTGTTTTATGAACTGCTAAAGTCCTCGACTGACAGAAGCCCTTGCCGCATTCGCTGCATTTGAACGGCTTCTCTTTGGAGTGGATGTACCTGGAAAAATTAACATATTGAAAATTGAATTAATTTTGTGAAGAAAACGAATTTGAAGTTCACTGTGTGTGTTATAGAGAGAGAGAGAGAGAGAGAGAGAGAGAGAAGTTGTGTGTGCACGCCTTAGAGAGAGAGAGAGAGAGAGAGAGAGAGAGAGAGAAAGAGAGAGAGGTGAAAATTAAACTTACCTATGATCTCTAAGATGATCTTGTCTCCTGAAAGCTTTCCCGCAGATGTCACAAGGATAAGGACGTTCGTCTGTGTGCGTGCGTTCATGGATCAAAAGATTGTAGGACTTCGTAAAATGACGCTGGCAAAACCGGCAAATAAACTCTTTCTTTGGTCTGCAAATTTAATTGAATAATCTACCATTAGTATAAAAACCAACTGTATAAACATTTGATACAAAGCGAAATGCTAAAGCATTAAACATGTTAATATGTAAATGTTAGTAGTAAAACCTCAAAATTATTATCTGATTTGCCTCCTCACGTGAAATTGATACATGAAAACAACTATTTATCATGAGGTTGTTGCCGCATCAAAAGAAAAATAAAACCATTATCTCGTCTAATAATACATTAATGAAGGAACCGCAATAAATTGTAGGCAAAGACATTATCTTTTGTTTCTCTGACAAAATGACACCATGCAATGAAACCCTAATTTAAATAAATAAATAAATAAATAAATAAATAAATAGAACTATAAAAAGCATGGAATCCTGCTGGACATCTAGTTCTACTCAATTATATAACATTCCAATTTTTCCCCAGAAAATAACACCACAAAAATTTTAAAAAGACAAATAAGGGTATAAAAATCAAATCTCTTCACACAGACGCTACTCACCTACTAGCGCGTCCTCTCTTCTTAGGCTCAAACATCCCGGTCACTGGTGGATACATGCTGGCCAGCGCGGGGTCATACCTGGACCAATAATAATAATAATAATAATAATAATAATAATAATGGGATATACAGATATGATTGCTTATATGCAGATGTGTGTGTGTGTGTGTTTAAGAGAGAGAGAGAGAGGAGAGAGGGGGAGGGGGGAATGGATGGATAGATGGATGGATGGAGGGACGGAAGAAAAGAGAGAGGATGGATAGATGAAAGAAGAAGGAGAAAGAGAGCGGGTTCCTGTCTTATTCATATTCTATATTACAATCAAAATTGTAGATTTGCCAAATTAAATTATTATTGCAATAGCAAGTATTGTTTAATCCATCAATCAATTAACTAATTAATTAATTCTCACCTGAGCCCCGCTAACACCTGCGCCATGGCATGGCTGACAATCTGAGCGTCTTTGTTGGGTGTCTCCTCCGTACTGTCTTTCTTCAGTCTGTCGTACTCGTGTGTCGCTGCCTCGGCCAGGTGGGCAAAGTCAAACTTCGGCGCTGGCTTCTCTTCTGTAAGAATGCCAAAATATTTATCCAATTGTTTTTGACAAAGTAGCACTGGCATTTATTTATACACGTATAAAACTTTGGTACTGGATTTTCTAAGAAATTATCATTGTATTTAATTTGCTGTTCACAAAATGTTAAGCGTACAATTAAGTAGCTTTTTCGCTTTCCTTTCTTCTAAAATTTATTTATTCAGTTCGTCGTTAACCTTGTCATAGCTTAACAATCACGTGTAAAAACAGCGATCAAATTTAATGCAGTCTGATTTCCGAATGACTTGATCTAAAATTGGAACAACAATCAAGAAATGAAATTCCAAACATAGTGAATTTGCAAGAGGATGACAGACCACGTACAAACATTGTATTATTAATTAGGTATTTAAAATAAAGAATTGTGATTTAGTACAGAAATGTTTTTCTTTTTCCTATAACGAAAATCACCACAAAATCACGTTTTAAAACACAAGGAGAAATTCGAAAAAAATAGGGTAAAAAAATAATAAAATAAATAAATAAATAAAAACAGCGCCCTACCTTTCCTTCCGTTCAAAAGTCCAGCACCAATGGAAGACCGGGACAGGTCAATGGGCAGATCGCGTTCCTTGGTCACCTCACTGACCACTGGCCGACCTCTCGGGACATCAGGGACGCTGACCACGGGGTGAGGATGACCATGAAGGGAGCGCAAGAGGGACTGCGATGACCAGGTACTCATGGTCAATCCGCCGTGATAGAGGGGAAGCCCGGCGTGGACAGCGTACTGCCAAGCGTGAGCAGCGGCGGCGGCGGCGTTGAACATCGACGGCGGGTAGACCGGTATGGGTGCCGGTAAATAAGAGCGTGGCCTCAGCGGTGACGGAACGGTCAAGTGTGGCTGAGGGAGGTGATCGGAAGATCTGGCAGCGGCGGCGGCAGCGGCGGCGGCGACCATTCTCAGAGGTGACGAGCTCCTCCGCATTTGGGCTTCTGGAAAACACAAACAGAGAGTTGGCTTTAAATATGCATTCGCCAAGGCATGTTTTTTTTTTTTTTTTTTTTTTCAGTTTTCTTTTCCACGTGTGACTTGTGAGAAGTCAGGACATGCCACGTATCCGGGCATACCCCTCAACGCACAGAGCTTTAGCGCCGTGAAACCGGATGGAGCATGATTTAAAGAAGCGTCAGACGCGCCGGTGACATTTCTGCCGTGAAAACCGACCCGAAATAATCGCCGGGCGCACTTGATCGAACACGCGGGATTTCCTTTCGTTCCTTCAGCTTGGGTTTCGGTTAACAACTCCTTGATGTTCTGGGAAGCGACTTGGTACGGTACGTACTGCCGGCGACTTGGAGAGAACGCTGTGCCGAGAGGAAGCGACATTGGTGGCCTCAGTATACTTTGGACTTCTTTAACTGTTGGCTTTCGTTTCACCTGAACTATTGCGGTAACTTGAATGCAGTATTATGACTTCCACGTGCGATTTTTTAAGGTTTTATTCCAGCCGGTTTTATTCTTGTAACAGGAAAGCAGCTTCCAAGTGATATTAATTAAAATATCGGCTTTCAAACGTGGTCGGTGAACGAACGCGTGCATTTTCAATACCGAAGTTGTTCAGATAAGTTTCCACTACCACCTTCTACCAAAAATAATTTTAAGATATATTTATACTATATCATGAGTATGTACAGTACGTACCTTTGATCCAAAGAAAAATATTGGTGTTAAGGCAGGTGAAAAACTGAAGCTTGATCTAAAAGGTACATTTCATTGCTCCGCAAGCTTTCGTCATTTTATTACACGCTCTTTAATTTCATAAAAAGAAAAAAACCGACACCGTAAACGTCCTTGAAAATGTACTTTATGAAATAATTCCTTTGGATATTTCATAAAATAATTTGATATTTTCACCAGACTCGTACATTCGATCAGGAACAAAATCTAAATATAGAGTTGAATGCCTTTCTCTGAGAGCGTTTTTTTTTTTTTTTTTTTAATGTCACACTCTATTTCAAGTTGACTACTCGACGGGAATAGCAATAAATAGAAGCTGAATTTAGATTCCCACGTTTGAAAATGAATAAACATTTGAAGTAAAATACGCAGTTATTGAAAACTAAAACTGAATCCTTATTTCCTTTCAAGTAAAAATTCAAACTGAACATAAAAATCAGATTGGATAGTTCGCATCCGCATGAAAATAGTAACCCCTAAAAATAATTTAATCCATGCGTCTCTATAGTTAACAGATTTATTTTATTCAACATAATCAATATATACATATGTTTTTTTTTTTCTATTCAAGCTCTTTTTCTTTTAGAATTCTGAATTACATTCACAAATCCATTTATTACCCCTGACCCTGAAATGTGTAAACAAAGAGGTTCAATGATTCACAGCAGGTTCTTAAGGGCAACTCTAACTGTCACGTAAGTGAGTAAGTTAAAAAAAAAAGAAAGTCGCAAGTAAGTACGTGTAATATTTTTTTATAAAATCATCGTCGACAAAACGCCCTCTTTATACACATCTGTGTTAACAAGTTGAGTTATTTCTTCGAAGACCCTCTGCTGTTTCCGAAAAAAAATTCACTTTTGAATAGTAAAACGGTAGTAAAACCGTAGGAAAGTGAAATGAAAGCAAAGTAGAATAATCTGTCAATTTTTTTTTCATTTAAATGTCTCTGTTATTATTTGACAAAACAACGCTTTTAGGATGTATTTTTATAAGTCCAGGTGGCTATTTTTAACTTTTTTCTTTAATCTGTTTGTTTGCTCATGGAACAAGTATAGAATGAAAGAATTTGATAAAATTCTGTTTAGTGTACAAATAAAAAAGCGGACATTAATTGTTATGCCTAGTGAGATACAACGCGCTCTAAGGCCATCAGGACGAAGCTATATGTACAGTTTTTAATTGTAAAATATATCATAGGAACCAGTTTCATTTTATTTGTCTTTTTTATATATTTATCTAAAATTCTATTTCAGTACCAAATAATAAAACTTTAATCTCCACATATTCGCTCATAGTAAGGGAATGAATTAAACTTGGTTAATTACGCATTATAATGAAAAAAGGAGTTTAAGTCAATTTGACATAATTTTTTTCGCTATATTTCTTGCAAGTTTATCTTGTATCTGTACATTATCTGCATATCCCAATGATTCATATATTCCTAACAAATACAACGACAAAAAACTGTAGTATTTTGGTTTATATTCTTACAGTGAAGGAAGCTGGGGAGAAACCATATTCAGAATTGAGAGAGTCCTATTCAGACGATCCTAAAACTAAATATTTAATCCTATTAGCGTAAAACGTTGAATTCAGTTAATCAGATCTATTTCATAAAGGTAGACATTACAATAAAATGTGACATCCATTTATCTAAAACAGCCAGATATATTAAAATAGACAAGAAGGAAAATTCAGTTAGCTTAATTTGAAATGGAATAAGTCAGCGTCTCAGAGCCAATGTGTCGACAAGGAAAACGTATTGGAAAACCTTCAGATATTAAGGTGGACCTGAATCTCTAGGTCTCTGTGTTGTGACTGCCATCTGGTAAAGTTTCAGACGTTGAGACGTGATTAAAATACTATAATTTAAACAAAGTGCTTGCTGAAATAAGCACATAATCAATACGCCGTCATAAAATAGACCGATCTAGTGAACAATGAAGGTAGAAATTCTCACAAGCAGCTCGGCAACTACCGAAATAACCTTCAAGTTTAGTTGGATCAGCCCTTGGTCGTAAAAAGGGAAGCCTGTTTATATCATTACTGCCTCAGTTATCAATGCAGTTGTAAGCTTACAGGACTTATAAATGGGTAGTATTTCGAAATAATTCAGTTCGTTCAAAATTTGGCTTTATAATAACTGAATAAGAACACGGGTATATCAATGTACATCAGTGTTACCTAAAATCTTTTGCACCTTGGACGAATAAAACGTTTCACAGGTAGACACGAAGCCAGCCGTATAAACATATTTATGTGATTGCCCTCATACTAGGATACCAATTGGCTTTCCTTAACACCCGGCAAATAATTTCTTGTTCAAATATGGCTTTTTAAATTTAAGCCCCCTGCGACTAATTGAATCACGAATGCGCGATGATGTGGATTAAAACAGTAGAGGTGATTTTTTTATATTACTTACCTTCAACTATGCTCTCGTGCATCACGACCATGGTGACAAACTCAGGTAAATCCTTAATGACAATCTTGTATTAACCCCGTGTTTTATAAAATCAAAGTCCAGTTCCTTGTCGTTATCAAAGATATATCTTCCAAGCTTAGTGGCGACTACACAACGCTGCCCTAACAACACTTAAGCCTACTTTTCTCTGCGTTCTGTCTATCGAAACAATGGCAGCATCTCTAAAAGGGAAGAGGGTCTCTCCTGCGATGGAATCGTGACGCGAATGAGGGACCAGCCCGTCTTGTTCGTCTATTTATCACCGACCGTCGCAAAGTTGACAGACAGCTTTATGGGACCGAAGGAGCTGGCGCGAGCTCATTTGCATACTTCCTGGGCAGGTCCAAGGTGTATTATGATTATTAATCAAGTAATTATCGCCTCACGCCACACTGTGCTGTAGGTTGGGCAAAGGGGGGTGAGGAATTTATTGGAGGGGGGGGGGGGGGGGCAATGGGGAGGGATTTTTGATCAGGTGTAGAAATGTGTGTTCGTGTGTGTCCAAGAAACAAGTGACGTTTACAACAGGTAAACAGAGTATTTCTTTCCCTCCTCCCTCTCTCTCTCTCTCTCTCTCTCTCTCTCTCAAATATAAAAAACTATTGCGGATGTCCTACACGAAAAATGAGCACGGTGCTTTTCATTTATTTCTAACTAAATGATTCTTACCAAAATATTGGGAACCATCGAGAAATCTAGTCATCGATGAATGGACATAGTTGAACTGGCCAGGTGGGAAGGTGGCTCAGTCTGAAGATATGTTCCCCAAGAAAATTTAATTCAAGTTCATATAACCGCTGAAAAGGCCCAGTTCATTCATCGTATATGTATAAAATATGTTAGAATCATACGTGGGACCCGTTATCCCAGAAAAAATAAAAATCATATATTTCTCCTTAAACTTAATTCATGAGCGTAAATAAAAAGGGGGACGAAGTCTGAAAAAAGAGAGGTGAAAATTTTCCAAAATTTAGGCGGGCACGATCTCCAAACACAAAGCCCCGTCGGGCTTCCTTCAAAGGCTTCTCTCGTCATTTTTGATTGTAGAAAGCTGAACGCCGACACAGGTTATCTTCAATGTCCACAGGATACAACCTTAGCTCTGAAGCAGTGGGTAAACAATCCTCTTTGCTCACTCTCGAGTGTTGACATACAAACGATTATAAATTATAGGCGAAATTTAATATGGGAACAAGAAGCTTACAACTGTGACTGAATGGGCGGTGATTTAAAATGACATAAGCAAGGGTTGTTGGTGGATGTGGAGAAAATAGATTAAATGAAGTTACGCGGCTGATGTGTTCTATTTCTTTTATATTAAATGTGATAATATGATTTTGAATTTAAGTCGTTACTCTTGAGCTGATTACTTCATATATAATATAAGTTACGTCAACCTTTGTATGCTGTGCATTAGTATGTTTAAAAATAGGGCAATTTTGTTGATACTAAAAAACGCGACTGAACGACCGTTTAAGAGATTAAAAACTTATGAACGATAAATCCACCAAAAAGACAAATATTGACCAAAGAAACGGACTGATGTTTCAATACAATGTGAACGGCGTTCCCTATAGTAACTCTCCAATCACGAAAAATTTTAAAAGTATGTTTTTTTTTTTGCAGGCGCATTCTTTAATATGCAAACTGTCCAATGGATATAATAATTGGAGAACTTTTTTCTTTATCCACTTTGGACATTTGCATTTTTAACTTCAAAAATGGCTTGGCCATTCTCTACACGCAATGCGCAGCTGATGATTTTCTGTTACGACGTTGTTTTTTTACTGAGTGACGTAAAAAGTAAACGTAAACAATAAATAAAAGGTATAAGAAGTGCACCTGCAGTTAGAGGTGACCACGTGTATAGTCGCTGTTAATTGAAGAGTGTTAGTGGTCAGGTCATTCGGACAACTCCCTTTGCCTTTATGTCCTAATTTATGTCCTTTTGGAGATTTGAGGTACGCCTTGAAGGAACCGTCGAAGGAACTGGTCAAGTTTTTTTTTTCATTATCGTCTTTGTTAAAATATTCATCAAAAACCTTATAATGTTTAATAATCACACGATGAGCAACTTTGAATAAGATGGTAGATTTGATATTCTGTAAAATGGTAGCAATGAAATACGATAAGGATGCGCGTACGGTTGTGATAAATAAAATAACAGTTGATATTTTACTGTAGTCTAAGTATTTTACTGCAAGCCGTTTGTTCGATGAAAAATATATTTTTTAATGAAAAAGTGGGACGCAAAAACAAAGTTTTAATTACAGCTCTTTCTTAATATGTTTGATAACTTACCATAGGGATATTTCGGAATGAGGAGTAAATAAATGAAGCTAAATTATACCTTTTCTTATTAAAATTAACGCGCCTACGTCAAAAACAATTGTAACCCATAAACACTCGACAGATAAGTTTTGCAAACCAAGCACACCCTCAGCACGTTAATACGAGCAGCAGTTGATAGAGTTAATTTCAAAACGAAAACCTTCATTTTGTGAAAAATTTTAAAGTACTAACAACATACACGAAATATTCAGAAAATAACTGGTGGCAGTTTTCCCATGGAATTTACATTAACCATCTTAACACTATCCCAATCACTCCAAATGTGCACTTCATTTTGCAAAAGTGTCGCAGCGTCCCCGTCATATCTTTCAGTGAGCTACTCATTGACGCTGCCGAGAACGCGAACGACAGCGCACGGTGAGAAAGACACCCTCTGTGGCAGCTCCAAGCCTGGTAGCGTGAGTCTTATTAGGCCACGGAGCGTCAAACGCGCGGTTGACGCCCAATTTCAGTCATTTTTATAATATATAATCCCCAAAATACAAGATAAGAGGTAAGAGTCAATTCAGCAAACCTGATCATTACTTTCGATTTGAATTAATTTTCTCCATGTTGTAAACTTTGTATTCAGTTTTCTGTCATCTGTTTTATTACACTTTATGAAGCTTCTTATGTTTCGCCTTCGTCCCACTCTAATTCTGTGATGGTACATGGCGATCATCTTTCTTACTTCATTCTATTTTATTTTATTCTGTTCAATATTATATTGTTACATTTTCAATTTTTCAAATTTATTTCTTTTCTTTAATTTAAATATTTATTTCCATTCGATATTATTTCAACGTATACATTTTATCAATTAAGATCGTGTGTGTGTGTGTCTGTGTGTGTGTGCTTTATATCATTATATCATCGTCTACAAGAGTGGGAGAGAGAGAGAGAGAGAGAGAGAGAGAGATGAGTGTGGAGACCAAGTTACATGAGAAACCCGCATGAGCAAAAGCCACTTGACAAGCCCCGCGTCCTCTGCTGAGTAAACGATCCGACGCTCTCAGTGCAACGCACGACAAGCAAATTGTTTTAAGGCCGGCTAATCTATACTTCAAGTAGCGGACAACTAGACACTTGTTTCCTGTGGCGATACCCTTGCTCAAATACATGTTCCTGGCCACCTTGATTAGGATAAGGGCCCAGAGAACTGGATGGACAATAAAGGGTGTTGTTTAGACTGGTTCCCGGCTGGATCAGGTTTTGTTGATGGGACCGCGGGTGTGTTTTTGGCAATGTCTGTGGCTTCTCTTCCCTGATTTCTGTACAAATATAATCTATTAAAAGACCCGCTCTGTCCCCACTAAATCTGTTGTATTTACACGTATCTAGAATCCGTTTTATTTGTTGAGTTTCGGGATCAGGGCGGTGGCAAAATGAATTAAGGCGTTTGCTTTTCGCGTTGTGGTTTTCTGTGCTTGCGTCTTTTTGAGAGCGAGGGGGCGCTAATATTACAATTTTGGAGTGTACGTGTACATGTACGGAGAGAGAGAGAGAGAGAGAGAGAGAGAGAGAGAGAGGGGGGGGGCGAGAATAATCAAGACTCTTCCAGACCTTTCGATATTCATCCCTATTAATAAAATAATTCTCTGCGTGCCTAAATTCATCGGAAGAAAAGTTCTTCCGGCTAGTCAAACGTGCCGGCCAATCAGCCCAAGAAAATGGGAGCTGTTCAGTGTCCACTGTCCAGTCATACTGACCCACGCGCTGACCGATCCCTGGGACTGAATTCGGTGGCTGGCACCGCCCAGTGCAAAGCGGTGGTGAGGACGTGATTAGAAAGCAGGACGTTTTTGTACAGTGCCAAGTGCTGGTTTTCACGAGGAATTTCAGACCGAACGTCGGTCTCAAACTTCAAAGCAGATTTTTGGGTTGGAAACTTCAAAGTCATCCATTATAATAAACTAACTACTGGTTTTAAGTATTAGCCGTGCTAATCCTGTTTTAAAACAGGAGCAATATTAGATATCAAGAGGGCTTCATCAGATGATCTGATTTCTCCTTGGTAGTAGACTAAAAGAGTAGACTAAAAGACTGAAAGTGTAGACTCATTTGTTCTTTGAGTTACTACAACCAGATGGAAAAAGTCATGACAAAGACAACTAAGAGAAAATAAAACACGTGAGGAGGGGGGTCTGTAAACTCCTTGATAGCTTCGTCCAAAACACATTTAAAAGTCAACTTGATCAGCAGACGCGACTGTCACTTCGGACATTAAAGAAAAATCCCAAGAAGTCGCTTGCTGACAATACAGTACAATACAATACAACTCAATACAATACCTTTGGTGGTTAAAAAACAAGTATTGAAACTAGTTCCGTCAAGTCAGGGAACATTCAAATAATTAATCGTATAAACCAATTCATTTATTAATCAACACAAAGGAAGCGTTGTGTTAATTTGATTATGGTACTTCATCTAGTTATATGACTTAAGACCATCGCGAGAACTTAGAAACGGTGGTTGGAGATCAGTGAGTTTCGAATCACAGGTATTTAATCGTGTGATGCTATGTTCTGTTTATTTAAATCATCATGCGATTCCATTTCCGCTTCCGTCTCGTTAGCTATGACTTAATACCACCAAAGAGCTTCAATTCTGCGCATACCAATTAGCAATAGTTCCTAACTGTATTCACACGAAGAACAAATTGAAATAAATTCGTAGTAAATTACATAAATTAAACAGATTTCCGATCCAAGTAAATTATGTTGCTAATTAAGTGAGTGGCAAGGGACAAAAAAAGGTTTAACTTGTGTTCAATCTCAAGACATTCCCCCAGTCTTGCAACACACGAAATCAAAAATCCATGGTGGTTGCTTAAACCGAATAAAGGCGTCTACCGTAGCGCTTAGTCACTCAAAAATTTGTGTG